ACTGAACCTTAAGAAAAACCATATTTTAATTACTGTATATAACAGTGATCAATGTGAAGGGTTGCATTCTTTTGCAGGCTGAGAAAGGATGTGTTTGGTCATGAAAGGAAAGACCGAAGAAGATATTTACATACAGATCTTCTCTTAAGTTCTTGCTACAGTATGCTTACCTTACTCCTCAATGCTTATTGAAATAATCAAAATTTGGTTCCTTTCCATACCAATTTTGTCTTTGTAATTCCATGAAGTGTATAATGAGTAGTGTTCATTACTAGAATTGTTTTTAATGGCTGCCCTCTGGAAGAGATGAAGTGCTTTGTCTGTCATCCTTGATGTTTCTTATAAATAAATACATCTCCAGTAAGTGGGACGAGAAGATAACTCTGGCAAGAGTCACCAATAAAGGAATGTTAGACTATATTGAAGAGTGGATTTTATAACCAGGGGCTCAGTTTTATGCTGAAATCAATAGTCAAAAATCTTATGGCTTCAAACTGTGTGTCTGAGTATCAGAGGTCAGAACTGACTGTATAATTTGGAACGAAGAGTATTGCATTGCTGCCTATGAAGCTGTCTGGACAGTGAACTATTTACTAGTGACTGGAAATAGAACTGAATGCGTTTTGATCATGTTGTCAGCTAATACCGTAATGGAAATAAGCTTTCTTTTTTGTTGTTGTTGCTGGAGAATAAGCTTACAATTTAGTAATCTGGATTGCTAAATGTGTTATTTTAAGTGACTATGTTTGTTAGTGGTGTACATTTTCTGGAAGAAGTAAAGACATTTCCTTGAGGCTACTTCTGAAAAGCAGCAGCACTCTTCAAATTTTAAATTAAAAAAAAAATCTCAACACCATAAAAAGTAGGAATGTGCTGGAGAAGTGACATTTTCTGCAATTGCGATCACAGTTGGCGTTTGTTGTTTGTTTTTTTTTGTTTTGTTTTGAATGACTACTGTTTTTTTTTCCTACTGATAGTTTTCCCAGCTTGTTATTTTATGACTCTTGCTGAGAATGTGGGATTTACTTTTTTTTTTTTATGACACCAAGTTAGCTGGAAGTGTTAATCTGCCTGGGGGTAGCGAGGTCCTACAGAGGGATCTGGACAGGATAGCTGGGCTGAAGCCAAAGGGATGAATTTCAACAAGACCAAATGCCAGGTCCTGCACTTTGGCCACAACAACCCCAGGCAATGATACAGGCTTGGGGTGGAGTGGCTGGAAGACTGCGTAGAGGAAATGGACCTGGGGGTGCTGACTGATGCTCGGCTGAATGTGAGCCAGCAGAGTGCCCAGGTGGCCAAGAAGGCCAATGGCATCCTGGCTTGCATGAGGAATGGTGTTGCCAGCAGGAAAAGGGCAGTGATTGTGCCCCTGTACTCAGCTCTGGTGGGGCCACACCTTTAATACTGTGTCCAGTTTTGGGCCCCTCACTGCAAGAAAGACATTGAGACCCTGGAGCGGGTTCAGAAAGAGAAACAAAGCTGGTGAGGGGTGAGGAGCACAGGGCTTATGAGGAGCGGCTGAAGGAGCTGGGAATGTTCAGCCTGGAGAAGAGGAGGCTCAGGGGAGACCTTATTGCTCTCTATAACTACCTGAAGGGAGGTTGTAGTGAGCTGGGGGTCGGCCTCTTCTCTCGTGTAACTGGTGATAGGACTGGAGGGAATGGCTTCAAGCTGCGCCAGGGGAGATTCAGGCTGGTTGTTAGGATATACTACTTTTCTGAAAGACAGGTCAAGCACTGGAATGGGCTGCCCAGGGAGGTGGTGGAGTCACCAACTCTGGAGGTGTTCAAGGAACGTTTGAATTTTGTATTGAGGGACATGCTTTGGTGAGAGGTATTGGTGATAGGTGGATGGTTGGACTGGATGATCTTGTAGGTCTTTCCCAACCTTGGTGATTTTGTGATTTTTTTTAAAAGAAAAATGTCTCCCTTCCAGATTCCTTAGTATCTTAATATTAAAATTGATGGCTTTTTCCCTTCTCCTCTTTTTTTTTTTTTTTTTTTTTTTTTTTTTTTAACTTGATTATAACTTGTTCTCATCTATGTGTTTTTATTGTATGATATACAGCTGGTGCTTGCTAAGCATCTTTGGATTGAATGTAGTGAAAGTTGATGTCAGAAGTCTTGTGGTTTTTAGTCTTGTCAACAGATATATAAAATAAACACCTTCACAATGCCCAGTGGTTTTATGGCCTGCACACAGCTGGGAAGTGCTGTACTGGTTTGTGGCGCAAACTCTTCATTTCTTGCTGGCAAAGAACAGAACAAGAAAAAGTGCTTATGTTTGGTCAGCTAAAGCAAAGCTGAGACCTCTCATTGAAAAGTTCAGTCTCTGAGGATTAAGGGAGTGTTTTTATACAGCAAATGCTCACAGAACCCTGAAAATGGCCTTGAGTCTTTGTGCCAGATGCCAGCTGTGCATCTGATGACACAAACTTCTGTTCTTTGAGATGCGGTTTGATCTGGGTAAGCAAAGGAGCTTTCTTTTCTGGAAGACCAGGATAAATGTTTCCATAGGTCTACAGCCTACAGCTAACAACCTACAGCCTGTTGCAGATTATCTTACCTAAATTTGCCACGACACCCCCAGAGTGCTCCATTTTACTGTATTAGATCAGTCAGCTTTACCTTTCGCATGGTGTGCTATGGTGGTTAAATTTCAGCAGAGGTTAGTTAGCTGAAGCAAGTTGTTCCAAAGGTGAAAGGCCATCGAAAACCTGCTGAGCAGCTTTAGGTGATTGGCTGGAGAGACAATAAGCTGAAGTCTGACCTCCTTTTACTTGCAGTTCAAGTGTGCAGAGCCTGTATGTGGAGAGGTTTCGGTCTGGTCTGGGCACCTTCAAAGATGTGAGATGGGAAGCCTGAGCTGTAGCTGAAAGCCTGTCCTGCATCCCAAGGCTCACACCATTTGTTCAGAAAATGGCTATTGTGTCTCTGCTCTGGCTTTTGAGGGTGCTTCCGACGTAGTTCTGTGAACATCCTTTTACAGTAATTGCTGTTGGGTTCACAGGCTGCACAGGTCAGAAACAGGACATGTTGGTGCAGAAAGGTGTAAGGACCAAGTTATCTACAAGCAGAAATTGTATTTATTGAGCAGCGTACTTTAACAGTAAGATATTACTGCCATTGGTGCACGGACTAAATGCTCCTTTATGTAGTTTTTTTTTTCCTGGGATTTCATGTTGCAATAGGTTCCAGAATAATGTTGGGGTGCGTATGAGCATGGTAATTCATTGTCATTTATTAACTTGTACTTAGAGCAGAGAAGCAGGGTGGGTAGAAACTGATTGTCCTTCCATAGGGCTCTTTACCTTTAAAGGCAAAGTCCGTATAGTTAGTATTTCTTATCAGAGAATCAAGCACATGATGGAGGGAAAGGATCTGTGAGTTAGACACACAAAGGACTTATCTTCAGAGAGAAAGGTATGACTTTTTTACTTAGGGGTAGCTAACAAGAGTTAGTTGTCCCAAGATAAAATGTAAGGATTAGATGGATTTGTTTTAGTTCTAGATAAACCTGTGAAGTCAGCCAAATGGAAAGGTAGGAAGGACTTACCTTGCTGGGTTTACCTTGTGATAAATTCACAAAGCTTGATCTTTGCTTTGTTTTTCTCTCGGAATAAACAATATTTAGTATTTAACCCAAACTTAAACTCTTTATCTATGGAGATAAATTCAGGCATGAAACAAGACACCTCTCCATCTCTGGAGATGCTCAAAGAGAGGTTGAATGGAGCCCTTGTCTAGTGTTAAATGGGGAGGTTGGTGGCCCTGGCTGTGGCAGGGGGGTTGACAATTCATGGTGCTTGAGGTCCCTTCCAACCTGGGCCATTCTGTGATTCTGTGAAAGAAGCTGAATCTGTTCCTGAAATGTTAAGGACTGGCTATGTTTTGATGCTAGAAATAATTCTGATATACTGCTGTAGTAGTGGAGTTCCTTAATTTAGAAAGGACTGCTGGAGATTATCCGGTCCAATTTTCCCCCACTCAGAATAGGGTCAATTTTTAAGTTAGATCAGGTTGCTAATAGTCAATCTGCCTCCTCTTCATGATAATCTGAATCAGTTTGTGGCTTTTATTTTTGGTATATTTGATTGTAGGAATGATGTTTAGCTTTAGTGACATCATAACAACCTTTGCATGTTTTAAGGTGAATTTGTTGCTAGGTTAGTGGTAATTTTTGCCAATGACTTATTGGGGTCAAGGTTAGAGCTAGAGATTTCAGCTTGTTGGTTTCTTCTTCTTCTTTTTTTTTTTTTTAAATTGCAGCTATACTTAAGATGAAGGCTTTTGAAGGCCTTAGCAAAATACATTTTTTCAGGGTGTACTAAACACTAGCAACATCTATCTATAAAAATGGTAAATGTTCAGTCAGAGAGGAAGTAAGATAGAAAGAAACAAAGAATGACCTTGATTAAACATTTAAACTTAGCAGTTCACTAGCTATAAGTTCAGTAATTCTACTTTGTCCTCTCTCAGATATAAATAAGGTCATAGATACCAGAATAAACATTAATAAAATAACAGAAGCAGAAAAGAAAGGGAAAATAGTAGGGGTATGTTGAAGCTAGAAGATTTTACTCAAAATGAAAGGTGCTTTTCAAAAATTCTTCATGAACAGTCGTGCTAGGAAGATACCATGAAGTTATACCACGTATATACTGTGAAGTTAGTGGAACTGATTATTGTACATTGATTGAGAGATTAGATGTGACTAGGATTACTAGAACTTGCAATGGTTATTTCTTCTTTGTCATTCTATATGTTTATCATATATACGATGATGTTAGATTAAAATATATGTTCCAGATATTGAAAGTAATTTTAAATATCTCAATTTACTTGTTGACAGTAGTGGGGTTTTTTTGTTTGTTTTTTTTTTTTTTTTTTTTTTTTTTGATACTTGGACACAGCTCATCATTACTTTCCTTTGCAGGTGTTAATATATCACTTATTTAGAAACACTAATGAAGAATTGCTCTTTGTTTTATGTAATAGCCGTCGTTCTGGCCAGTATACAATGAACCATGATGATTCCAAGAGGATCCCAGATGGAGCGTCGTTTGATCGCTCAGGTTCCCAGGACTCCTTGGATGCAATGTCTTTGGATGATTTTTGGAAGGAAGTTGAAAACATCCATGAAACCAGAGGAAATAATCATGAGGAACGACAAACAATTGTAGTAAAGGAGCCAGATGGTAATGAAAAAAACTGTTGTGAATGACAATCATTTTGCTTATTTGGGGATTTTCTTTAAGTGTTATTTCGAGAGGTGGACTCACCAAACATGCTTAAAAAAGGAGTTACTCTGTTGAACATGCATTATTGAAAATTCATTTGCCTCTGATGCATAGTGTACTGAAAGAGAACTGCACTGGAAATAAGTAAAATGCTGTTTTTCTTTTGAACAGTACTTGCAGAAAATGTAAATTGTTGCCTGTACTTACTGACTGTGAGAATCGTAAATCTTCATTTGCAGTTTACTTTGTATGAGATGTTCACTACTGTAGTCCTTGTGGATAGAATCCTCACAAGGACAAGCCAGTGATTAACTGTTTAACTTAACTAAGTAACCTCTAGGCTTACTTACAATTATCTTGGCTGTTTCATTGTATTACTTCTGTTTCACTGAAGCATCACTCTTGAGGGAATGACTGTAGAATAAGGAAGGCAGTTGCTTTATTTTTCTTGTCCCATCAGACATAAGAAATGTAAGATCCTTAATGCCATTCTTCTCTCCCTCAAAAAAAAAAAAAAAAAAAAAAAAAAAAAAAAAATTTTTAAAATTGCGGTAAATTCCCCCCAGATTTTGCAATGCTTGGGCCCCTTTTTTTTTTTTTTTTTTTTTTTTTTGTTTTTTTGTTTTTAAACAACACACCAGCTCGCTGATGCTGATACGCCTTCAGGCTCTGCAGTCCAAAACCCACCATTTCCCATTTCCTTTTTTACTTTACATATATAGCTTTCTTCCTCACCAGCTCCAGCTGCTGACTCTATGCTGGCAGAAGCCTGAATGATTCAGCTGAGATGAGCTGATAAGCTCAACCAGCTGTTGCTGTGCCCCACATCTTGCATTATGTGCAGCACCTCACTTGAATGAGTGCTCCTGAACATGTGGGACACTGCTACTCTCCTGCAGGCTGCCTGGGCAACGGGCTTGCTTGAGATGCAGCCATGCAAATGCAAGGCAAGAGTGGGACAGGGTATTCTTCTCTTACACCTGCTTTGGAGAATAGACATAGACTTCCTTTGTAGCTCTAATACCAAAATGTACAAGAATTTTGTCAGACTCTGTATTTATCTACACAGCTGCAGCAAAATTCATACTTAAAATGTTGTGTCTATTTTCTTAGTACTATTAAAATTCAGATGCCCATTTGGATGTGCGCTGGGCACTGAGGGAAACTGCAGGCAGTAGTAAAGTTGACTTGCCAACTCAGGAGTATTTTTAGGCATCTGAAGCATTGAAATGTTTCTTAAATTTTGAGATAGGTTTTTGTAACAATATAGCAGTTCAAGCTAGATTGTTATAGATAGAACTTAGTATCAGTATTTAAAAGAAATTCTCATTAGAAGGATAACTGATTTCAGATGCAGAAGTTTTGCTGTTGATGGCACCACTTAATAGCTTTCTCCTCCTTCATGTGTAACGATAAGGGATATCTTACCAGCTGTAAGACTAAAGCAACAATCGTTTTATGAGCTGTCAGCAGTCTGGAGACCATGTCAGAAGAACTTATTTAAAAATAGCATTAAGGTGACTCCTATAGCCTGGTTTGTCCTTCAATAATTTGAGCTAATGGAGGGCTATAGGATTAATGTATCAAGAAAATTGGGCAGAACTGTGTCAGTACGGAAGTTAAAAAGATTGAGAACTGAGCTAAAAGTCAGTGAAGCAGCAGTGATCAGAGGCTTTAAGTCTTTCTCATACATATTTGTATCTAGGTAACATTTATAAAATAGGGTATTGTTTAATGAAAGTGCTGTCAATTACAATAAAGATTGTCCCATAATGATCTCTTTTGGGTTAACTATTTTAGAAGCTTTAATATGATATGTTAACCCTTTTGAAGCAGTTCAGAAACAACTTTTTTTTCCAAGTCAAGGTGATAAGTGCAAAGAATTGCTCTTTATTTTGGATCTCCATGTTTGTTTGTTTTTTCTCCCTGTGAACTGTACTAGCTATATCACGTCCTTGTAGACCAGTGTGTTTAACAGTACTGGAAAGCCAGTATTTATGCCCTTTTTTCTTTGCCTGGCTCAGAGGGAGAACTGGAAGAAGAATGGCTGAAGGAGGCAGGTCTGTCCAACCTGTTTGCTGAGAGCACGGGTGATTCCCAAGAAAGCATGGTGTTCCTGTCCACACTGACCCGAACCCAGAAGGCAGCAGTAGAAAAACGAGTAGAGACTGTCACACAGACCTTGAGAAAAAAGAACAAACACCACCAGATTCCTGATGTCAGAGATATCTTTAGGCCACAGAGTGACCCAAAGGAAAAGGTAAGTTCCTGGCTGTCATTTTCTTTGATGATGACAGAGAGGAGAGAGGGACAGATAGGAGTGGGAGGAGAGGAGGGAGCAGCAGAAACTCATAAGAGCTATTTCTAGAAGATTTGTGTCTAGTTTTTTACTGATTTCCAAGGGAAATTCTTAAGCATTTATAGGAGCAGCATTTGTCCAGACTTCACTTTGGTTAAGCAATTTTAGTTTGTAGAATGCAGTATGTATGCTGGCCTCAAATTACTCCAAGGGGATGAATAAAACAGTCACTCCATGATTAGAAACTGATTGGATTTAATTCTAACCCGAGCATGAAAGTCATGACAACAAACACTCAAAGAGCGACCAAAAGCACACTTTTAAAGTGGTAGAACCTGCAGTCATTATGAGGTCTGCCATATAGGGAACAATACATGTTACTAGTACACTTTTTTCCCTCTTGAGAGGAAATAAGGGACATCAACCTAACCTTTTTTTTTTTTTTTTTTGCTAGGTGTTAATGTTTGTCAGCTGGGATCTAGACCCCAGTACTAACTCCTAGGTCCCCTGAATGTCATTAAAAGTGTGTGGCGAGTTGTTCTGCTGGGTTCTGAAAGGTTCCTGTTTTCCCTTTTGAGTTGTTGAGCAGGAAAGCTCTCCCACATGCAGGAAAGGGGAAGGAGGAAAACAGGACTGTAATTAGAATTCCTCTTCTGCAGGGAAGTATATCCTCTCTCTTCCTCCAAAAGGAAGCAGGCTTCAGCTGGAAGGAGGTGCTGGCTGGATGGCAGTACACCACTAGCTTACCAAATCCCAGCCCCATCTTTGGTTGCCACTCCTGCTGTTGCTATGCAGCCATCACAGCATTAGCATGGTGGATTTTGAGAGGAGTTTATTTCCTCCCTGCCCTAACTGCTGCTTCTCCCTGTGCAGCTTCTTTCATTTTCAGCAAAAGTGAAACAGAGTGGGGGATGTTTGTAAACTCAAATGTACGTTCTAGAGGCAGAACTTCCCATTTACTGTTCTGCTTTGTATGTGGTTACAGAAGAAATACTAACTCCAAAACAGATTTCTGGGTTTTGGTTTGGAATTGACTATCCCTAAAAATTACAACATTTAATAGTAGAGCAATTTGGGTAAAATATCATGTAACCTAAGGTTATGTGATTTCCTTTTCAAGTGTTTTTGTTATTTTGGTCAAGTACAATAAATATTCATGTTCCTGTTTAAACTACACGCTGTATTGTCTGAAAATCATATGTTGCAGTATTCTGTAGACTTCCGCTTCTCTGAAACTGCATGTTTTAATGCTGATAATATCAAAGAGGAATAATGCAAGCAGACAGATGAATGTAGCCATGTGAGATGTATATGTCAAGATATTGATTAAATATAGAAATAATTTTTTTAAAAAAGTTTCTCCTAAACATTTCTCTTTGACTGAAATAAAATAATGTAAATGGAGGCCCTTGAACCTATTCTGCATACCTTTCTCCAAAGCAAGATAATTCTGAAGTCATTGCTTGTGTTTATTTAGTCACGGAAGGCTGGTCATGAGGTAATTTGCACAACTTCCTAGGTAACTTTAATACACCCTCCTCATTAGAAGGCTTTTATGTAACAAAAGAGGACTGAAGCTATCTGCAGCTGTATGAGGTCATCCCAGTTCAATAATAGTATCTGAAATTCTTGTAGCCTCCCTTCATCTGGGGGCAAGCAGGAGGAAAGGTAAAACAATAGACTGGTGAATAGAATAGTGTTGTAATGTTTATGTTAAGTTTCCTGCTATATTCCTGCCAAAGAGAAGCTGGACTTTTCTGACAGGTTGGAAGTCTGCTTATCTGTGCATTTCCCAATGTGCTGCTACTCATCCATGGAACATTAATAATTTTCTAAGAATCATAGAATCATTTGGGTTGTAAAAGACCTTAAAGATCACGTCCAACCACAACCTAACCGTACTACCCAAACTCTGACAACCCACTGCTAAATCATGTCCCTGAGCACCACATCCAAAGAGTTTTTAAACACATCCAGGGATGGTGACTCAACCACCTCCCTGGGGAGCCTATTCCAGTGTTTAGCAACCCTTTCTGTAAATAAGTGTTTCCTAATATCCAACCTGAACTTACCCTCGTGCAACTTCAGGCTATTTCCCCTTGTCCTGTCACCAATGATCAGCCCCGCTCTCACTGTAAGCACCTTTCAGATATTGGAAGAGAACAATAAGGTTTCCCCTCAGCATCCTTCTCCCCAGACTGAACTGCCCCATTCCTTCAGTCTCTCCTCATATGGCATATTCTCCAAGCCCTTCACAAGCCTTGTTGCCCTTCTTTGGACCTGTCCAGCACCTCAATGCCCTTTCTGTACTGATGTGCCCAAAACTGAACACAGTACTCGAGGTGAGGCCTCACCAATGCCAAGTACAGGGGCAGGATGACTTCCCTAGTCCTGCTCACCACACCATTCCTGATACAAACCGGGATGCCATTGGCCTTCTTGGCCACCTGGGCACACTACTGGCTCATGTTCAGCTGACTGTCCACCAGTGTACCAAGATCTCTTTCCACCAGGCAGCTTTTTAGCTGCTCCTCTTCAAGCCTGGGGTTGCCTGGGTTTTTGCAAAATGCAGGACCCGACACTTGGCCCTGTTGAAACTCCAGTTAACCTTGGCCCATTGATCCAGTCTATACAGGAAGTCATGCTTCCTTTTATCTATCAAGATTTCTGATTTAAAAAAAAAAAGTGTGTATAAAAGTTTGTTTTGGTAGGAGAAAACCTTGAAACTCTTATTTATATTATCAGCAAATGAGGACTTAAACAGTGCTGATTAGATATCATTGAAAATCCAGAATGCTAAACATTTGTTATTGATCTAAGTTGCAAAAAAGATCATAGAAATTATATGGAGGTAAAAATAATAAGTGGATGCATGTGTACCCATATATGTATGTACTGATGTAGATTTTCTATATGTTCAGAAATATTGTTTCTATCATAGGTGTAATACAGTTTATAGAATGTGAGGAATCTTGGGAGTGGGTTGTGCAGCAGCACAGAAATGTAGAAAGACTACGTTTTCTTATTCCTTATAAAACTGGAAAATTAAGTCATGTATCTTTTTAGGAAAAGGAGGATTGCCTCTTTCTTAATTACTTAGATTTCAGATCTCCTTAGTCTTTGGCAAAATAATTTTGACTGAAATATGTAAGCGCGCTTCTACACTGTATTTATTGTTCCTTTCTTAGGTCTGTGATAGAAGTGAACCCTCAGCTGAAAGAACAGCTGAAAGCAAAAATGAAATGCAGGATGAAACAAAAGGTAATGCTAGACAGATCCTTTTTCTTGTTTGTAGGCTTTGTGTTTTGCAATCTACTTCAGAAACTAGTATTTCAAGTAACTTTTTGGCAAAATAAAATGAAGTTCTCATGGGAAAATGTATTCTGGCCTGTGTTGTGCACTTGTAAAGTTTTTAAGTGTGGCTGTAGGTTGTATTCTTTGAGCCATCTGGGAAACCTTGTTTGTGATCATCTTGTAATCAAGTCACCTGGGAGAAGTGTCTTCTCAAAGGTTGTGCTAAGGTCTTTCCCGATCCTTAATTTATCCATTCTGGTTTATCTCTGCTGTAAAGTACAGGAAATTAAGCAGTATACATATGCACTGATGAGCTTATAAGAGAACAAAAACAAATGAACTATAAACATACAACACAGGTGAGAACTGGCTGTATGTCTGCGGCTCATAATGAAAGAAAAACAAAGCTGGAAGAAAAGGTGGTTTATTTTTACAAGGAAAATGGGAAGAAATTAGTGTTCTGTGCATGTAGGACTGAGTTGTGTTTAGTGATGTGTGATTATGCAAAAAGGGTGCAATACATGTGGAAGGCCTGCCCTCTCCCAGCCATGTAGAACAGAGGAAAACAGAAGTCCTTGGATGAACCCAAAGTTTCTGGTTTGAGAGTCTGAATTTTGGTGAAAGACTGACAAAGCTTTCTGATGTTCTTGAGTGACAGTAATAAAATATTGTCATCTTACATTTCTTAGAGATGAGGGAAGCAGTGTATGTGCCATCCCATCATGTCTGTCAAGATCAACATATCTGGCAGCCATTTATGCTTCAAGGTACTGCACTGCTTTTCTGGATTGTTTGTGTATCTTTGTTTTTTCTTTCTGAGTGACTGGATAGCATATAGGAGTCAACTGGACCCTACAGTTTCCTTATATACTCAGGAAAGTAGATCAAGTTTCCTACTGCAAGTTACTTATCTGTAATTAAGCCATGAAATGAACTTCTCCAGTTCTAGAATTCTGACCTGTATTCAGTTTTCTAAAAGAAGAAAGAAAAAAAAAGAAAAAAAAAAAAAAGATTGCTTTAGGATTAGATTTGAGAAACAGCAACAAACAATATGGGATATGCTTGGAAGCTGAACTGGGAGAGATGAATATAGAACAGCTCTTAATATCACTAAAACTGTGTGTTTCCAGAAGTGTTGTTAATCCTTCCCTCTCTCACTCTCAGCAAACCTCACTGGAATAAGAACAGTATAAAAACTGGGAAGACTGCCAGGCTGCTGGTTCAGCAGAAGGGAAGGAAGAGATGCCTGGTGCTTGTGTCAATAAACTGCACTGTAGGATTCAGAGCTGGAAGATTACCAAGCAATTATTACGGAGTTTTTATCACATCTGGTTCTTTTTTTCCAGTGGCCCTGATGAACCCTTCAGAAATAGAAAATTCTGAAAAGCAACTCCCATATGCTAGCTCTCCACAGCACAGATTGTGATGTGGATGGCAAATGCAGCCTGCTTACATTCTCATACACTTCTGCTCTTGTCAGTATGCTGAAGTGGGCCCTGCTTCCGGGATCAGAGCAGGAAGGAAAAAAAAACATTCAAGTTCAGCAGTGTTAAAAGCACTGCACCTGTTTCAGTTCTGTACTGTGATCTTTCCCCCAGAATGATGGGCTAATTAGTGTTATACAAACAGTGAATGATTTTAAGGCAAGAAGTAAACAGTGCTTGGTATTTCAGAGATACTAAATATTTATGAAATCCAAAGGCATTATTTTAAAATGGAAATCCCCTTTAACAAAGAATTTGTACCAGTTCTAACTGAAAAATATGCATACAATCTCAAACATTATTGAAAAAAAAAAATAATAAATCCAGATCTTAAATTGAAATGTTGGATTTCTTAAAACTGTGAGTGATTGAATCCCTTTTGTCCTTCTCCAAAGGGGATGACTGTTCCTAACTTGGTATTTGAGTGCAGCATTCTCAAGTGCTTCTGCCAGACTGAGCAGAAATGGTCTGTGTGAATCTGTTCTTCTTCCTCCATTCTTGCCTGTCCAACACACCTTGTTTCTTGTCTGAGCATTGTATGCAAACATAGGGAGTAACACGAAACCAATACGTTTTCATTCTTTTCTGCCTGATCAAACAAAACAGTTCAGTAAGTTCCTAAGTTTCTTCTATTAATAGCAACACATTTCAGTGTTTTGCAAGGACCCATTCTTGCTGGCTTTAAGTGTTTGTCTGTTTCATGTAGGTACAGAGAATGTCTACAAGAAAAAGAAAATTTGGAGTAGTATATGCGTTTTCATGTTAACAGTCCATAACCCTCACTGAAATCCCTCAAAACTAGCAATATGTTCAACAATTACCAAAGTAAAAAAGTAATTCTCTTTGGATGCCTGTGAAAATTAATAGATATCCATGTCACTGAAGCATCTCAAGAAATAATAATAAAAGAATAATGAGTATTTAGCTACTCATCTGCTTTAACTTTACCATGGGATCAGAAAAAGTCAATTTACTTTGAGACTCTGGTTGTCCCATGCACTGAGTTAGCTGCAAGAGAAGTAAAGCCTCTGTATAAAGGCAACCTCAAAGCACGATGATCTGGTAAATGAATGAAAGAACTGAATGTACTTCATGTAACATGGAGGAATAGAATGTACTTCTTGGTAGGAAAAAAGGCTGAAATGTAGTTGTATTTTTTAATTGAATTTGCTTCTGCTTTTCATTTTGTGTGTTAATAAGGATTTTATAGCTCGAGTGCTAGAGATTTAGTGAAAAGATTGTGAGCTTTTAGAACTTTTTATTAAAAGTCAGCTATGAATTAGCATTATAGATAAATGTTTTATGTCAGCCATTCCAGTTATCAATTAGGACTTAAAAGTATAGCACTATTGAGGTATACTTTAGATTGTCTGTCAAAATAAGTAAATAGCAAGGTTGACACTTCTGATTTTTTTCACATCTTGATTAAAAAGAAATCCCAACACTCCATCCCATTCCTGAAGAATTCACATAATTTTATGTAGTGTTTAAACAGCATTGTGAACCAAGGAAAGGATGCAGTGCAGTCTGATTTAAAATATTCACCACATTCTCATAGACAATATTTACATTTTCTGTATCGCACTTGCATTTCTTTCCTGAAATACTACATGCAGTTGGCAGCTTGACAGAATTCTGAAGCTGCTTCCTCCTACAGCTGCTTCCTAGTTAATAAGTGCACAATACAATACAATACAATACAATCAATAAGAAACTCCCCACAACAGCAGCAGTCTCAGACTTTTTTAAAATGTGTGTGCTGTTACCAAGGCATCTTCTTTGAAGTGTACCTTGGTACCTGAGGACTGAAATAAGAGCTACTGCTTTATTGTTTGTTAATGTCAGATCATCAGATTTGTCTCATGCTGATAGGACGTATGTAGGTCACATATAGGCTACATTAGCATGACAAAAGTCTTGGGTGGACAGGGAAAATTTTCCTTCCGTTTGGATGCATTAAACAATTTACCTGGTGTATGTAGGCATATGCATATAGAGCCAGAGATTGAAGCCAGGGGGGAAGAATTTGACCTAGAATATGTTTGGTACTGAGGTCTCATATGTCTGTTTACTGAAAGCAGTAGCTCTAGTTTCACTATCAGCTTAATCTTTAGCATATGCCTCAGGAGACTTTCAGAGTCCATCAAAAGTGAGTAGTTGCCACTCTGAAAAGAGAATCTGGTAATATACAACCAGTAAAATCTGGAAATGTTTTATTCTACTTCTCACAGCATTGCTTGGCTGTAAGTAGAGTCAAACATTTTAACTCAAGTTCAACTGCTTTTTCTGGAACTGTCTCAGCTCTAGGTCAATGAAATTGAAGTGGGAGTGGTTGCATTAAACACTGTGTCCTACCGTGTAGTGGCTATTGGTAGCTTCACCCGTTTGCCTGTCTGCTGAGTTTGGCCCTAGAAGTTGGAGGTAGTGTTCAGGATTCACTCTAAAGCATAGCAGTGACAAGTCATGTTTTATAGTCATCTTTCAAGTAAACGCAGATATGATTCAGAAAAAAATTGTTACATGTTCTTTTTAAACTTGATGCTTCATATGTTGTTTGGGTTGCATGATTGCAACTCGGCTTTTTAGCAAGCCACTGAAAATATCAGTTTAGAGCAACACTTCCCCAGTGCCTTCTCCCTAAATCAGCCTAGCCACAGCCTTTCCTCTGCTTCACGTCAGATGTTGCTGTAGCTATAACTATTCTCTGGAGATTTTCTGTGTTTGTTTAGCATGATTATCCTAGGCCATACAAAAAATTTCCCACAGTGGCATAAAGAAATCTGTTAGTTATACTATATTCATATATGAGAGCATATGCACTGCTGATAGTTCTCCTCAGCTCATGTATGTTTCCTTCTCTCTCTTTCTGTACTTGTTGTATGTTATATTTGAACAGGAAACAGAACCTTGTGGGTAGGAGCCAGTGTCAGAAGCATGGTCTTATTGAAATGAGCAGTATTAATTTGCTTCCACTTTCTCTGGTTTTAGAAAAGTTTGAAATTAAACACAAGTACTTCAAAGCACTTGGAATGCCTTGTAGGACGAATTTCACCCTGGCAAAGGTCACCCTGGTGACCTTTGAGAAGCATTACATCACAAGTGATGCTGGAGAGATTGAAATTTTTCTCTGGCTAAATTATTTTGGTGCTTTGTATTAAATAATGTTAATTGCAATAGTTTTCCTCTTGCTTCTTTCTGATATTTTTAAAATTCAGACTGAAGTTCAGTAGTAGTAGAAGTGGACATCTTTCTCTAAAATCAGAACTGCATCTCTATTTTCTTCCTTTTTTTTTGTTTTGTTTTAAGCAAAAATTATTCCAAATTTGTCTAGTGTTCAACTGAGGCATAAGGAACAGAGAAAGAGAAGTAATGTGGTTATTCTGTATTTAGTCCTTCCCAGTATCGTATCTAGGCAGTTTTGATGAATTTAGACTTAGACGTGAGGAAAGGAATGTCTGTGTAGCCTCCATTATTCTCAGATATTGCTTGCAGATGCATGAGATGGTTGAGCAGAAATTGATATGGATTGGAAACTGGCTGATTTCAGAAGAGATGATCAGAAGCATGAAACCAGATTGGAGGTCAGTCACTAGCGTTGTACTCCAGGCGTCAGTACTGTATCCAGTCCTGTGTAATAACTTCATTAATAGTCTGGATGATGAGAGGAGTGTACATTCAACAAATCTGCATATGATGCCCTGGATGCCTACCTGTGCGACCTGCTGTAGGGAACCTGCTTTGGCAGGGGAGTTGGACTCGATGATCTCTGGAGGTCCCTTCCAACCCCTACAATTCTGTGATTCTGTGACACAGGATTAGAGAGTGTGGCTGATATGCCAGAGGGACATGCTGCCCTGCAGAGGACCTTGACGTACTGGAGAGATGAGAGGAAAGTGAAGAGTCTTGCAACTTGGGAGGAACATCCCCATGCATCAGCACATGCATGGCACTGCCCAGCTGAAAGCATCTGTGCATAAAGGTGATCCTGGTGGACAAGTTAAACATGAGCCAGTAAAAGGCTCTTGTGGCAATTAAGGCCAATGGTATCCTGGGCTGCATTAGGAGGAGTGTTGCCAGGAGTTCAAGGAAGATGATCCTTTACTCAGCACTGGCTCTTTTCAGTGGTTCTCAGTGCCCGGACAAGAGGCAGTAGGCATGAACTGTAACAGACGAGTTTTCCTGTGAACATCAGGAAGCACTTCTTTATGGTGCATGTGACCAAGCACTAGTGCATGTTGGCCAGTGGGGTTTCTTCCTCAGAGATTTAAAAAAAAAAAAAACTGCCTGGACATTGGTCTGGGCAGCCTACTGTGAATGCCCCAGCTCGAACAGGGGTTGGACCAAATAATGCAGAGGTCTTTGCCAACCTCACACGTTTTGTAATTCTGTGATGTTAATGTTTTGGGTTGTAGAATAAACTTTGTATTTTGCTTCTGAAATTACTGCAAAAAAAAAAAAGTTGCTCTTTTGCTTACAAGGTGTTACAGTCTTTGTGTCTGGAAAGTGTTCCATGGCAAAAAAATTCTGATGCCAGAACTATTTGGCTCTGGAAGATCTTGGTAATCTGCTGTTTCTTTGAAGTGGATTCCTTTATTTTTTGATAATAGAAAGGTCACGTGCCTTGGCAGAATTATTCTAGAAAATCTACAGGGCTCTTCTTATAAAGCTCCGTCTCCATTTTCAACTGGCAAAAAAATGCAGGAGTAAGTGCATTTGCAAGTAGATGTTGATCTCTTGCTTAGAACTAATTTCTACCTTTCTCTCATTTGTTGAGTGATGCTCAGCTCTGCTGCTGTTGATTGTTATTTTTTCTACTCTGTTTTCAGATCTGAAGTTCAGTCTTGGAACTAATGAGCAGAAGAGCCCGCTTGAAGACATGCCATTTTCAGAGACTGACATCAATTTGGAGATACCTTTTGCAGAACAGGCAGCTAATCTCAAAGACAACTCACTGGGCAAAATGTGTAAGGATGGAGGGGGTGATACTCTCCGCACGGTATGTTTCCTATTTATTGCCATCATTGTTTTCATTGGTGAATAGTACTGTTTGAATGATATTTATCTGACACTGAGTGAATTAGGTTTAAAAGAATATTGTTTGATCTAGCTTTATGGGGATAAACCTCAAGATTTTTGTGAATAGTATTCTCAGTAACATGGAAATTACTATTTTATACCATCATGTATGTCCTTGTCATTCTAGCATAACTCACTTTGTGTGTTCAAAATAATGGACTAGTAATGTTAAGTTGTAATAGTGGCGTAATTGTACACAACCTGTGTCCTTATTTCATTTGTTTACAGCTCTTTTTTCTGTTATCCAAGGTGAGATGCTCTATCTCTGTAATGGTAATATCTTTTGTCAATTAAAAGGAGTTATTGGATGCCTGTGGAAACCTTGTGTAGCTATCTGGTAGAGATAGATGGAGAATGAAAATGAAGAACAGTGTAGTCTATAAAAGTCTGAAGTGAAGTGGCAGGGAGCTAAGGATTACTTTTTACTCAGTTTTACCTTCCAACTCAGTAAAAAAGACTAATTCTGAAAGTATCTAAGTAGAAACAAAATAAGATCCTTCAGGATGTTTTGTCATTGATCCTCAGGCATTTCTAAGGACCTCTCTTTGCCTAACATTTTGTGAACATGCAGTTACGTATGACCTGAAAACTAATGACTGGTGTGAAGAACATCTCTTTTGTCTAGCAGTGTATCCAAACACATCTGAATAAATGTGGTGGCTGAAGTAATAATGTTTCATTTCTTCAAACACTTAATTTCAATCAAATAAACATGCAGTTCTTCAAATTGTAATTACCCTATTTATTCTAATTTAAACATTATACATCAGACACTAACAGATATTTGGAAACGGATTCTAAAGTGTTTGAGTCACACTTCCGTAATGCAGCTTATAATGGTTTAGCTTACTTATATTTACTTATTTACATGTGTACTACATGATTTAGCTATATCTTTAGCTCAGCTTATGAAAGATTGCTCAATGCTTGTGATAGGGGATTTCTAATTCAGTGATGAAAGGAGTGGCAAAATGATAGAAAAGGAAGGGAATTACCTGTTTAAAAAGCTACAGTTTGATTTGTTGCACCTTCATCATTGGCAGCTATTTTTAAACATTTATGATTATGCAAGTCAATGAAACCTCAAGGCAGGAGAGAACTGACTATCTATCTACAATTTGTAAATTGTATTTATGTACACTTTAAGTATGTACAATTGTAGCCACGCATCATGGCCACCAACTCAAATCAGATGTGCTATCGCTGGGTCTGTAAAGAATGAGAAAATTATTCTGGAGTACATTTGTTCTTTCCAAATGGAGAGGAAATCTTGTCAGCCTTCCTGCTTTGAGTCATGTATGCTACTAATAGCAGGCATGGGAAATAGTATAATTTAGAAGCCTGCTGATGAAAGGTGGTGTTAAAAAACTCTGTGGATTAGGAATGTCTCCCTGTCCTTCTGAACACATTTCTTTGTATTCCTCTCCAACTGCAGCTTCTGAGTGTACAGAAGTTATTTCAATATACATGATCCATAATTATGGTTCCCCCTTCTGTAAGAAGGAAAGCCTTTTATTCTTATTTGTAAGATAGTCAAATATGTTATTTTGATTGAATAAGCGCAGGGGGATTTCTATGCCAATTGTACATGCATAGGATTGTTAATGGGCAACTGTGGAAACCAGTGTAAATTACAGCAAGACAAAGCCAGACTGGAAATGCACTGTGAAAGGACATGAGGCAGTGGATACAAGTGATAACAAGGAAAATCCCATTTTGTAAAGAAAACAACTCTCCATGAATATGTTAAGCACCAAAGCAGCTGCTCTCAGAGATTGTGGAATTTCTCTTACTGAAGGATTTCAAATTTCATTCAGACAATAATTGGAGGAAGCTGATCATATTTTGAATTTAGCCTTGCTTTGAGTGTGCAGTTGGATTAGATGACCTCCAGAAGTTACTAGCAACATAAATCCTCCTATGATTCAAAGCTTGTCTGCTTCGCAAACTATTCAGGGGATTCCTCCATGTTTCCATTAGTAGCAGCAGGCTTCATGATGAAAGGTTGTGCTCTGAAGCCTTTGAGCAAAGTAATTTGTTATGACTTGAATTGTTGTTATGCTGCAAATCTCTGCCTTTAGAATTTTAGACTGCCAAAGGACAAAACAGGAACCACAAAGATTGGTGACCTGGCCCCTCAGGACATGAAGAAAGTCTATTCTTTAGCACTGATTGAATTGACTGCTCTCTATGACGTACTTGGGACAGAATTCAAGCAACAAAAAGCTGCAAAAATCAAAACCAAAGGTAAGTTACTGTTTCATACACTGAAACAAATAGGTTTTAATCTAATGAAACAAATGTATCTGGTTATTTATGATTTTCTAGCATAAAATTTGTATTTAATTGATAAATAGTAACAGATACTGAGCAGCATTTAATTATGCATCTTAACTCAGGGCACATTTTAGGCAAGTTCATGCACATAGTCACTCTAGAGACTGTGCTCTCTGTATAAAGTTAAAACTCAGGCTGGAAATGAGCAGATAACCAAGCAGCGAGGAAGGGGGACCTTCCCCTTACTAGCATATTGTACAGGAGTGGCTGCACAAAAGTTTCTATGAGATTGTATATTCCCCAGGAGGACAGATGTATGTGCATTTTGTCATTCATGCCCTCACGAAGGTAGGTACTATGCACGTCCTTCCTGACTTTTTGCTTTTCTTGATCTTGGTTGAAGACACTGACAACCATTATCACCTGCTTTCCTATTATGTCTGGCACAGACTTTCCTAGGTCACATAGCTGTGCCCATTTGGTATTTCCTAAGGTCACAGTGCAACATACAGAGTGAAAGATTTGGATATCAGGGAAAATTCTTTACAGAGAGCATGGTGAGGTTCTGGAACAGGCTGCCCAGAGAGGTTGTGGTTGCCCCATCCCTAGAGATGTTCAAGGCCAGATTGGATGGGGCCCTGGGCAGCCTGGTCTCTAGTATTAAATGGAGAGGTTGGTGGCCCTGCATGTGACAGGGAGGTTGGAGGTTCATGATCCTCGAGATCCCTTCTAACCCTGGCCATTCTGTGATTCTGTATGAGAGAGGTGTTTGCAAAGGATTTTGAGACAGTTGCAAGCTACCATTTTGCTCTACAAGACAATGGAGTATGTATGTATATATTATCACAGTGCTTTTCTTGGGGACTTAGGACGCATGAAAACTAATTTCAAGATACTAGAGATTTTCAGTGCTTTGTTTGCTTTCTGTATTTCTGGCTTCTGCTAAATGTTTTACAAGAGCTTGAAATGTGTTACCAGTTAATCACAAGCTTGCTTTGGCCAAAACCCTGTTCTCAAGGTTCAGTTAGTATGACAGTGCAATAGCTCACTTTAAATAATTAAAGGCAACAGAGTCTTGAGATATACATAGCAAGGTACGATATATTCTTCAGAATACGATCTTGACTTTCTGGTAGTAGAAAAGAGCAAATGTCATAAACAGAAACATGTATGAGACCTTGATCCTCTAAATGTATTTTCTTCTTGTAGAAGTGCTTGTGATTAATACACAGAAAGAGACAAACACTTTCATGTATTTTGGGTCTTAGTTTTAATTGGTCCTTCTTAGCAAATCTTACTGTTGAGTACATTACCTAAATAACTTAGTTTAACTGACAAGCAGTTGTGAAAAGTATTGCATTGATTAAAAGCCTTATTTTTCATCAGATTAAAAAAGATGAAATAGAAATGTGTAGGATAAAGACAATGACATGTCAGATTTCCTCGCCTATAGATCTGCTCTTCAGTGTAATTATTTCAGTGCCTTGTTGCTCTACCTGATCCCCTCCTCTTCGCTCAGGAAGTGTTGTTTGCCTGAATGATTGATACAGTGGAGAATCTACTGGCTGTCGTTTGTGTTTGAGTACATAAAGATGATGAAAACGTGATTCTTCTGTGCAATGCTGTGCTGCTGCCTTTTTATTGCCCCCCTACAGTTGGTTTCTTCAATTTCATCTCAGTAGAAACTTTCATTATTGACAAAATCTTCCAGATGATATAACTATGGAGTATTGGATGTATATATGAGTCTACGTATTTTAATGGTAGACCTTTTACTCTGATAGAGAAGAACTCCTTGATGTGGTGTTTCAAATTATGTTTCTTTGATATATGTATCACACTTTTTCAAGAGCTGTCATCTTTTTAGTAATTACAGCTGCTGCTCTGTGCTTGATAGTAGCATGAGCAGCTTTTAGCTACATGTAAGATTATATGCTGCTTCACAAAAATTGCACATGCAGCAGTTATCTGTACCTTTTGCTGAGAAATTCTTTGGCAACAGGCTTTGGGTTAGTATTGGCGAGTATAGCTTTCAGAAGTTGTTCTCTTCCATTTACGTGGACAATAAAACAAATGGGTGTCCTATCTATTTCAAGACTAATATAATTTTGCATGAAGAATACATTAACTAGAGACTAAATGATATTTTATTTTTTATTTGGGCAACCTTAGCACCTTTTAAAGGCCATTTTCCAACCCAGACTTAATGATTATTTTGCTTCTTAAAAAAAAAAAACAACAAAATAAAAACCAACTTTGGAAAGGTGCTAATCATTCTGTCATGATGGTTTTGTATAATGCAAAACCACATGAAGGGTTGAAAATCTCTTTTTTCAAAACTCTTATGGAGAGACGTTGAGAGTAACTCTGGATGATAATTACATCTGTTTTGTTTTTGTAGCCAAATTTCTGGATATTTTACTCATGTCTTTTGCATCTTTTCTATATTATCTTACCCTGAATGCATAAAGATGTGCATTCCATGGTCATCACCAGAATCACTCTATAAACCAGAACCATGCAAGTGGCTCATTTACACAATTTGCTTCGCTGTACTGCAGAACATGCAGATGACAGAAGTCAGAACAGAGGAGTCCTGATTTATGACTGAAGGAAGAGATGAATGAGTCACTTTAGCCAAAATGCTTTTTGTAATAACTCAATAAAAGCATTCAAACACTTTGAACAAACACTATGAATGTATTGAATAAGCTTACTGTTTTCAAAGTATGGTTTTATGCCATCATCGCATGTGTAGGAACAGATACAGATAATATCTCAGTTTCTTTTGCTTTATTCTTCAGACTGTGGCTTGTTTGGTGTCCCACTGTCAGTTTTACTGGAACAGGATCAGAAAAAGGTGCCAGGCACCAAGATCCCACTGATTTTTCAAAAGGTAAATAAGCACAAGCAAGTCAACTTATTCCATACCTGCAAATGACAATCAATAACATTTTGTCCTGAATTTATTTTCTCTCTGTAGCATAGCTTACAATATATTACTCTAGTCAAAGTTACAGTAACTTTTATTTGCAGGTTTACCTAGTAATTTATCAGTTATTAATTTATTTACTTATTTATTTAATAGATGTGGTACTGGGGAATGTGGTTTAGTGGGCAACATTGGTGATAACTGGACAGTTGGACTAGATGATACTAGAGGTATTTCTCAACCTTAATGATTCTTTGATTCTATGAATTTAGTAAACTTGATACTTTGCTTTGTATCACACATATTTTGAGGTAAATTAATAGTTTGCTTTTGTTTGCTGCAACTAGTCTGCAATTTATAAGAACTGTGAATTATTACTGGTGCGTTCCAGTAGATCTCAGTACTAAGTAAAATGTCCTCTGGCGAAGCTGAAAACAAGAGTATTTGTGAGATAACTATTTTAGCACATGAAGGAGGTCTATAGATAGTTTTATTTTTAATAAAAGAGGCAAACTCTTTAGAAGTATTCATAGAAGGGACAAGAACCATATTAAAGATTTTATTCTGCATCTACAACAACTCTAATCCATTTCTAAACTGTGCATTTGTGTGCTCATATGTTGGATATTTGTACCACACATGTACATACATAAAGGCTCCAATATATTCGAACCATCTACCAGTAATTTTTAATTGACATCTTAATTTATGCAGTTTGGTTTGTGTTTGACAGTTGATTTCCCAGATAGAAGAGTCAACTCTGGAGACAGAAGGACTTCTTAGAATACCAGGAGTTGCAACAAGAGTAAAGGTAAAACATTATATAGATTTTTAGCACCCCTAAAAGCTTATTTGATCTCCCTCTTTTGTTACAGAAATATATTTTGAGGCCAGATTATTATTAAAAACATAATAATCTTCAAAAACAGAAAGAAAAGTCTTTTCAGAAAGAAAAATGAGTTATATTAGTCAGGAGGCTGATGGTTTGATCCAGTGTAGTTTTGGGGAAAGTTCAAGTTGGAAGCAGAGTCAAAGCTATGTTTCAAATTGAGTTGTGCCAAAATCTCATTAATTCTTGGCACAAGCTTTCTAGCCTCTTGCTTTTTTCCCTGAACCAGCTTAATCATCTGAACAGTTTATACACAGTCTTGTACCCCAGGAGGAAGTTTTTTTTCTGGCATTGTGAGCTTGCTTTAATAGCTAGACTTAACCTACATTACAGAGCAAGGCAGGCAGCATGTGTTGAAGAATCTTTCAGATTTTTTTTTATGAACAGCAAACTACCTTCTTAGCTCTCTGAACACATCCTTGTTAGGCACATCCGTTCACACACACTGACACTTCACAGAGTGGGTGCCAATTACACACAGACTCTTCCCCAGTGTTTTCCTTAGTGCAGGAAACTAAATACACAGTATGATTCATGCCAAGAGTCCATGTGTTAAAAAGATGGTCTGAACTGGCCTTAAATGCTAAAAGATAATTTAAGTGGATTCAGCTGTCCAAAGACGCCTGCCAGCCTCTATCATATCGAACTTTGTCCAGCAGCTGGTTCACTGGAAACTGAAGGAAGGGAATATTATGGAAACTGGCTTTGTTTATTTACCAGTAACTAAGATTTTTTAAAAATATATATCCTTCATTCTTTCTTTTCCACTCTACATCAGTTCTGCCTAATGGAATTACTTTGAGATGATTTTGAGATGATACTCCCATCTGGAGTACTGTGTCCAGGTGTGGAGCCCTCAGTACAAGAAAGACATAGAGATTTTGGAAAGGGTCCAGAGGAGGGCAACTAAGATGATCCTCCCCTATGAGGACAGGCTGAGGGAGTTGGGCTTGTTCAGCCTGGAGAAGAGAAGGCTGCGGGGTGACCTCATTGCAGCCTATCAATACCTGAAGGGAACCTACACCCAGGAGGGGAGTAAACTCTTCAAAAGGGCTGACAACAGCAGGACTAGGGGAAATGGTTTTAAGTTGAAGGAGGGAAGATTTAGGTTGGATGTTAGGGGGAAGTTCTTTACAAGGAAAGTGGTTAGGCCCTGGAACGGGCTGCCCAGGGAGGTTGTGGATGCCCCGTCCTTGGACGTGTTCAAGGCCAGGTTGGACGGGGTCCTGGGCAACCTGATCTAAATGTGTATGTTTGGTGGCCCTGCCAGGCAGGGGGGTTGGAACTACATGATCCTTGGGGTCCCTTCCAACCCGGGTGATTCTGTGATTCTGTGATTGTTTGTTTATTCCTTAATCTTTATAAAATTAATACAGTTTCTTAGGAAGAAGATCATTAATTATTTTTCCTTCATTAAATTTTTGCCTATTTATTTGCAGAAACTTCTTCTTTGAATTAAATAATTGTTTTGTTAGAAAAAAATGTTACATTCTTTTACTTATTTAAATGGAAACCTTCATAGAAAAAAAAATAACTCAGCATACTGAAGGACCTATATTATCTCTAATTTTGTTAAATTGTTTTTCTCCTATTGAAAAATAAAACAAATCCTTCTTACGTAGTTTTATAAAATGGTACAGATGATTGGAAGAAAATATTTTGCTATTTTATTTTAATGTTATTTTTATAGTTATAATTAAGATAATGTATTGCATATTTATGATATTTATGATAGTTAAATATTTTTACTTTAAAACCTAAGCATAGGTCCATTAGGATGTGTAGTTGACATTTCTGTTCTTGCCCTTCAGATAAAACAATTCATTTTATCTAGTTTTTTAATACTGCATTGACTATGCTGATTTAGTTTGAATTTGGATGTAGAAGGTGGTGAGTCTCAGCAGGAAAATTTTCATCTATTTCTAAAGCCTGATTTTGTTCTTGATGGGAAGAAAATGATACCCACATGACTTTAGACATCTGAGTTAGTATCTTAGCACCACTGACCCTTGTATACAATCTATGGAGACAGAAGATCTCTCTGGAGGACAGTTGAGAACATCCAATTTTTATATCAACCTGAATGTTCACATTTTCTTTGCAAATCTATTTGTAGCAAAAGATCAGCAGCAGATGGAGTTTAGCTATATTTCAGATGTTTCTTTTCTTTTTTTCTTTACCCCTTTCAAAGGAAGGAAAACATTGTTGTGTGTGTAATGCATTACTTCTAGCAGGCAAGTGCTATTGATGCTGTCTGTATCTACTGCCTTGCAGAGCCTTTGCCAAGAATTAGAAGCAAAATTTTATGAAGGGACTTTCAACTGGGAAAATGTAAAGCAACATGATGCAGCAAGTCTTTTAAAACTCTTCATCCGTGAACTGCCTCAACCTCTCCTAACTGTAGAATATCTCAAAGCTTTCCAAGATGTACAGAGTGAGTAGTGTCCTTTCCATTTCGGTTGCAAAGAAATAATACAGTGTAGAGAATTGTTTCTCTACCATAACTAGCATTTTCACTAATAATATGTGAAAGAAAACAAATCTCAAATATTACTTATCATCAGATAAAAACTATATCTTTGCTAATAAACATCAGCAAAGTAATATTTTTCATTGAACATCTACTTTAATAGTTTACTTGTAAAGTGAAAACACAGTATCGCTTTTTGTTATGTTTCTAGTGGCCTTTAGGAATTATAAAGGAGTTAAAAGTTTAGGAATTATAAAGGAGTTAAAAGAAAGTTGTGTAAGGCGGTATCAGTTTATGAATAATATTTGTTTCATAGAATCATGGAATGGCTTGGATTAGAAGGGACCTCAACGATTGTCAAGTTCCAACCCCGCTGCCACAGACAGGGTTGCAAACCACTAGATCAAGCACTAGACCAGGTTGCCAAGAGCCCCATCCAGCCTGCCCTTAAACACCTCAAGGGGGACGAGGCATCCACAGGCTCTCTGGGCAACCTGTTCTAGCACCTCACCATTTTCTCAGAAAAAAACTTCCCTCTGAAATATAGTCTAAATCTTCTCTCCTTCAGTTTAAAACCATTCCTCCTTGTCCTGTCACTGCCCTTGTAAAAAGGGTATATATACAGAGATTATATGTTTATAATCTCTGTTTAAAGGAAGACAACAGCAAAGATGTAATAGTTCTGCACAAAATCCAAGAAATGGTAATGTGTACTGTTTAGCATGGCACATGGAGAGTATTTTATCTGTTTGCCGTAGGAGAAGTTACAACAGAATTGTCAAAGCTGCTAACTTGATCAGCAAGTTCACGTGAAAACATCCTCCTTTCCAACTGGTCACCAAGACAGCAAGCATACCAGCTGTAACATAAAGAAAGCAGACAGTTTGTGACAGTGAATCAGGAGTGAGAGTCCACGTACACCAACACAGGGGTGTTGGTTTCAGACAAATTATTTCTGCTTTTTTATGGGCTCAGTGATGATGGCTTATTTCTAAGTGCATTATCAGATAATTCCCATGGTCAAGCAGACAGGCAGTTATTCTTCAAAACTCTGGGCAGTTCCACTCTCCAGGTTAGAAGATTTTTTCAAGTGCATAGACCTTAATTGATGTGAGTAGGGGACTGGAGCTTAAGCCTGTTACATGGTGGTGTTGATTTTGCAGCACTGAGCAGCAGGTTAAAGCAGACCAGAATACTTTCAGATGATGCTGACAGCTAGCAGTTCCTAAGGTTGTTCCAATTAACAGATAAGGTTCAGAGCCAGGATGGTTTCTGCTTGCCACTTCTGACTGTCTTCAAGCCTTTTGTGGTTTTACTTATCCAGAAAATATTCAGATGACAGGATGCAAAATGCATGCAGCCAAATAATTTGATATAAAACAGACTTAACACTTTATGGACTCCAATTATTTAATTGTCTGCCTTTGTATTGGTTGAGCACAGTAAGATTAGGTAGTAGAGAAAAAAGGGCCATCTTTGGGACAGTAAACGGTATTTTTCATGATAATGCATTTAAATAGCGAGGTTAGACTTTTTACTATTTAAATATTTAAATATGTCCTCTTCAATATCTTTATTGATGACCTGGATGAGGGCATCGAGTGCACCCTCAGTAAATTCGCAGATGACACCAAATTGGCTGGAAGTGTGGATCTGCCTGGGGGTAGCGAGGCCCTACAGAGGGATCTGGACAGGCTGGAGAGCTGGGCTGGAGCCAATGGGATGAGTTTCAACAAGGCCAAATGCCGGGTCCTGCACTTCGGCCACAACAACCCCAGGCGACGCTACAGGCTTGGGGCGGTGTGGCTGGAGGACTGCGTAGAGGAAATGGACCTGGGGGTATTGATTGATGCTCAGCTGAACATGAGCCGACAGTGTGCCCAGGTGGCCAAGAAGGCCAATGGCATCCTGGCCTGCATCAGAAACAGTGTTGCAAGCAGGAGCAGAGAGGTGATTGTTCCCCTATATTCAGCACTCGTGAGGCCGCACCTCGAGTACTGTGTCCAGTTTTGGGCCCCTCACTGCAAGAAAGATATTGAGGCCCTGGAACGTGTTCAAAGGAGGGCAACAAAGCTGGTGAGGGGTCTGGAACACAGGCCATATGAGGAGAGGCTGAAGGAGCTGGGAATGTTCAGCCTGGAGAAGAGGAGGCTCAGGGGAGACCTTATTGCTCTCTATAACTTCCTGAAGGGAGGTTGTAGTGAGCTGGGGGTCGGCCTCTTCTCTCGTGTCATTAGTGATAGGACCAGGGGGAATGGCTTCAAGCTATGGCAGGGGAGATTCAGGCTGGACATGAGGAAGTATTACTTTTCAGCAAGGGTGGTCAGGCACTGGAATGGACTGCCCAGGGAGGTGGTGGAATCACCGACCCTGGGGGTGTTCAAGGAAAGACTGGATGTTGTGTTGAGGGACATGGTTTAGTAGGAGCTATTGGGAATAGGTGAACGGTTGGACTGGGTGATCTTTTAGGTCTTTTCCAACCTTAGTGATTCTATGATTCTATGATTCTAAATGACTTAATTAAAACAATTTATTTTGTTAAGTGACTGACAGAACTAAAACTAGAACATTATTTGGGTGAACAGATGGAAAACCTTGATTTAAGTAATAAATCTTAATTGTTTTGCTATTGAGTTCTTACTTACTTTTAATGTATGTCTTTCTAAGCAGGCAAGTACACTGTTGTCCCTGTTTCCATGTTTTAAAGGACTGTATAATTTACCATTCTTTTATTTGTATCATTTATTTTTACTATGGAAGAGAATAGTCACAAGCTGTTTTTTATATCATGGATTAACTTTTTCTTTTCTTTTCTTTTTTTCTGTATCTCCCAAATTGTTTTGAACAAAATATATTTGAAGTAGCAGTTTTGTTGGAATCTCATTGGAATGCACAAAACCAGATCTGTTAAGCTGTGTCAGATGCAGGTCTTTCCTTGCTTTTGTTATGTATGGACTGATTCATTAGGAATCTGCTGGGAAGGCCCTAAAGTATGACAGGAGGAAATTTATCACAAGTGACAAACCCGAGAGAGTTGGGGCTCTTCACTGTTCCACACTGCTAGAATTTAGGAGCCATGCTATGTTTGCTATGATGCTCCCTGCTGTACATAAGTATTCAGCTTCTTTGCTGTTGGCTTTATCCCCACTGGTTTGCCACTCCAGCTGTTGCTACTTGTGTTGCCGGTGTCTTGCGGGGGTGACTTGGGAGACAGTGTAACTGTTCAGGCAATCAGAGAAACTGTGAATGAGGCTTTCAACATACTCTTGAAATTTCAGGCAGAGGCTCAAAAAGGGAGGAACCATTAGCCAGCTAGTTTTCTCTTTTAACATTGCAAAATAGAAAATCACAAGACTGTGAAAAATGCTGCCAAAAGACAGTTGAGTCATACAGCAACTGAATCACACAAGAGTGTTTGGAAGAAAATCAGAAAAGAAGGATTTGCCAGTCCTTTGTCACACCACGACAACAAGCCATGTGCATGCGTTCAGCATTTTATAAGATGTTTCCACTTTAAAATCATGCTTTCTGAAAAGGACAAATGACAATTTTAAAATACTGAAGATCTTTTGTTTCACTGGCAGATCTTCCAAGGAAGAAACAGCAGCTGCAAGCTTTGAATCTTTTGGTTATCCTTCTACCTGAAGCAAACAGAGACACACTGAAGGTTAGAATTGCCAATACATTTTTTTCTGTGTGAATATTTTGCCTGTTTCTGTGACTTCACTGTAATGAATACTGTTGACTTTCAACTTTTTTTTTTTTTTTTTTTTTTTTTTTTTTTTTTCTGTTTAAAGTTAATGCTGAAACTAAGGATTCTTTTTTTCATATTTGACAGAACTTCAGAAAAAAACATGACTTAGGACCCTAATTCCACCCAAATGACTTTAAGAGTATGACTTGAATTTTTTCCAGGAGACTGTAATAATAATCTTTCAGTGAATGACCTCTTCTCTTACAAGTTTCTTACCTATTTTTTTTTTAGCTGTAGCAGTCATTATTTGCAGGGCAAAAAAATAAAATGTACTAGAATCCTGCACATTATTGTCTGCTTTTATGAAATGAGTTTATCTTTCTGTTTTTATTTCCTACTTTTACCTTTGTCTTTTGTTTCTACTACATAAATAACAAATTGATGCTTCCTACTGTTATTTGCATCACATCACTCATAGAAACTTCCAATTTCAGCATGTCCTTCTGTAGCAGAGCTATCAGAAATCACTTTCAGAAAATATTTACTATTAAAATTTTTATTATCAAAAGTGAATTTGCGGGATTTCTGGGGGATACAGAACATATTCTACCATAGCCAAAAAGATTCAATTTGTTTTTATTGGTTAAATTTATTTTCCTTTTTGAGTTAATGTGTGTAAGGACGGAGGAGGATTCCTGAGTAGAGTTACAAATATCTGGAACTGAGTTTATTGAAGATTGACAGTTTGTAACTGGCCACTTGTCATTCACAATTCAGTGGTTTTCTCACTATTCCTGTACCTCATGGAACTAGACACTCCAATGACAGCTGGCATTACTGTATTCACTTTCATTTTAAGAAAAAACAACAGTAGTGTTTTCAAAAGCATATGGGAAATGCTACTTACACACCAACATAAGAAGTCTTTTGGAAAACCTCATTGTACAGAGCTTTAGCATGACTTAAATGCTTTTGAAAATATTATTAACAAGAATTATTTACTTTGTTCTATAAAGAATACTTGTACTGCAGTCTTCTGAAGAAGCATATCCACACTTCTTGTTTTTAATGTGGCTTTGTTAGGAATAATGACATTTTTCCAAGAACATGTAACATCATGGTTCAATCTAACTTTTTCAAGTGCAAAGCTGAGCTTTAAATTCTGCTGTAATTTCAGGTACTGCTCGAGTTCCTTCAAAGGGTAATAGATCATCGAGAGAAAAACAAGATGACACTAAACAATGTTGCGATGGTGATGGCCCCAAACCTTTTCACATTTCAAGGGCTTGGCTCAAAGAGTATTGAACAGAGCGAGTTTGCTATGGCAGCTGGAACAGCAAATGTCATGCGTTTTATGATTCAGTACCAAAAACTTCTCTGGACAGTAAGTGTATTCCTAAGGGGAAAAAAACTGCCATAAATTTCACAAACAAGGCATCTGAACAAAGAAGTAATGTGAACTTATTTCCATGATTTAGAGAAAGATCAGTCAGCCATGTCCAGCTGGGTTCTTTCTCGTAGGTGATTCTGTTGGGAATGAAATAGAGTTATTACGTATTATGCTGGAGTTAAGCTCTGATGGTCTGAGTTTCAGTATTTAGTATGTACCGTGAGTGAACTCAAAAATAAATCCTTGGGGAATCTTTTTATTTGTTCTGTTGGTATGCATTGTTACAAGGAATTTACTTGTGTCTGCTTAGAGATACTCACAGGGAACATGGTGTTTAAATCCAGACTTTGGGGCCAGACTTTGCATTATATGAAGTATGTTTTGATGAAAACATGAAATTCTGTCATGGTCTCTAGGAAGCTCTCTCTTATAAAGACTGAAGAACTTGAACCTTTGTTGTCCATCAGCACCTTTAAACAATCTTGACCTTTGCTACAAACGTGGAAAAGTTATCACCATTGTACAGACTAAGTGCTAAGTGAATTTTTTGGCTGAGGAAAGTAAAATCTGTATGATTTCACTTCTCTTCCACTAAGAGAGATGTAATATCACGAGTGCAGTGTTTATAAAATTATTTCATAGCTTTATATTATTTGAATCCTTAATTATTACTTTGGAATAGATACTATTTATTCCATTCCTGCTTGACAATCTGTAAATTTATAATGTTTTGGTTGGTTAGTGATGGAAATGATGAGGTTATTCAATGCTTACTATCTATATTCATCTAGATTCCCAAGTTTATTGTTAACCAAGTGAGAAAACAAAACACTGAAAACCAGAAGAAGGAGAAAAAGGACAAAGCTATGAAGAAACTTCTGAAAAAGATGGCTTATGATCGGGAAAAGCACGAGAAGCAGGACAAGACACCCAATGATGTAAGAAAACATATATCTGAAATACTGTATTAATAAGTCTGTCATCTCTCTAGTGTAAAAGTGGATATTGCCAAGAGGATATCTACATTTAATTTAATTATTTAATTTCAATAAATAGGAGGTTAATAGATAGGTTTCATAGTTATGGATTACCATCATGACACTTTTAGAAGGTTGAGCTGTTTATCTTTTCCCCAGATTTTCCAAAATGTATCTATTCTGAAAAGTGATATCACATAGGTTGTTTCAGTTTGGGTGTCTGAAACAAAAGTAGATTAGTGTTTGGAGAGAAAACAAGTGGTGTACAATCTTGTGAGCTGAGATCAAATTAAAGATTTCAGTGAATTAGAGACACCTTGTGGTAGTTTGCAAAAATGCATGGGTTTGAATCTTAACAAATATGAGTACGGCAAACTGTTAAAAAAAATTGTCATTTTCTGATAAAAGCAAAGCTGGTTAACATATTAAGACAAAAGAATGTGGCATGTGAATGTATCTTCCATGGTATCCACTTGAATTGATACTGCAAACATACATATGTGTGTGTATTGCATACATATATAAATGTATATACACATGTATATTTGAGTCTGCAAAAACATGGATCCTTTGGACAATTGCATCCAGCATCTGCTAGAACCATATATTTAAGTGTTCCTACTTCACTTTGCACGCAGTAGTGACACATCTTTAAAATGAATTAATGAGCAGTACTTTGCCTTACTTTCACATCTATATGACTATACTTGAAGGAATCTATACACAAAATCAGGAGTTATCTACAATTTTAAAATAAAGCTAATAAAGCTAATTAAATATTGACATTTATTTTGTACTGTCTAATAAAGAGAGGATTCTTTGAATACAATTCAGCGGTATTAATGTGAGCTGACACTTAAAGGAATGCTGCCATCCATTGTTCAACATGGAAATAACAGCAAATACACTGAAATAGGCAAGTGCTATTGCAGCTTCACATATCAGAATATTTTTTTGTGATTCAGTGCTGATGTTTTTGTAGTAAAATATGTCTTTTTAATCCACTAGAGAGTTATGACTGAAGTCTCATGTAATACTTACCCAAAATTATTACCTAAACATAAATGTAAGGTTGCTATCAAATAATTTTCTTTAAGCCCCAGAAATCTCTGGGGATTCCCTGCAAAATTAAATAGAATTTTTCACGCATTTTTCACTCCTGCTCAAAGTTTTCATAATTAGGGTGCCTGGGAACACAGTACTCTCAAAATCATATTCTCAGGTATGATATGGCTTCATTGTGAATGACATTTATACATTTTTCTGTGTGGCTGAAATTGCCTCAACTCTTTCAATTCTTTAAGAAAAAAGCTTCCCCTTCCCAACTCCTTCCCCCCAATTATGAGTTTGCACTGCCTTAGGTTGAAATTGAGGTGATTTAACTGTGCAGTTCCTGGACTGAACTCCACCATTAGATGGCAAGTGAGACAGTTAAACTTCTGGTGAATCACCATTCTGGTGAATGCTGTTTGAAACTGTTGAGAGTTAATTATCTTGCTTGCAGCTGAATAAAACGTAAGTGAAAGTTACGCATGCTGTGGCATCCCACGTGGTTAAACAGAGATAGCCAGAGTTTGAGTCAGTTTCATAATCTTCAGAAATATCTCAACATTTTCTGTGGCAGTCAGCTCATTTGGTAATCTATATAAATCTTATGTCTCACGAGGCCTTTCTATCATTCTCTCTCCCCCTTTTAAGAAACATCACTTATTGTGCAAGGGAAGCAGATTTGGGGCAAAATCTTTGTACAGTGCTGAGTGTGGATAGTGGGGTTTATGAAGGGGGCAGCTAAGCATACAATTCTATGGCCCAAGTTTGTGTTAGGGAGTAAGTCTTTATGCTATGGTGGGTGTGCACAGTGCTTTAGCCAGGCAAAGAAAGATGCCCTCGTGACTGCAAATTTATCCACTAGAATAGCTAATAGATACCACCTGTCACTGTATTCCTCTCTATATTGCAATTGTTCCAAAATAAAGGAACAGCCATGTTGGTGGCAAAGTGCAGTGCTACTGGGCTTATCTGATACAGCTGTACATAGCTGATTGTCCCAAGTGAGGTGTACTACTTGCAGTTCAAAGAGACAAACTGCATCCCAATCCTTTCTTTGCTTTGTCTCTCACTTAGCAAGTTCGTTTCGAACTTCAGTTTTAGTCTTCATAATCCTAGTGCTTCTTCCTTGGTTGGTATCATTTGCACATTTGGTAAGTATAAACCCATCATCTGAGTTGCAAGTGAAAATACTGTGCAGTTGCTTTATCCCTCTCTTTGTCTAGCCTGATGGATATCCAAGCATGTCATGCAAAGTAATCAGCAAGAGCCTCACAGATCCTACAGCCTGCAGCTCTTTTGTGAAACATAGATCAAGTCTCTATGAAAAGCCCTAACTGGAATGTTTTGAATTGTGCTACAGTTCCTTCTGTAAGACTGCTCCTGCATGACTTATGATCACTTTTTCTGTCCCACCACCTTGTATAGTGAATGGACTAGAGGATGTTCATTATCTATTCTTCTGTAGTTGGGCACCATGAACATACTGTTCAGCTGAGCATGAAAAGATGTAGGTAGTGAAAGTGGCAAAATGCATTCATTAGCTGAGTTAATAATGATTCTGTTTAAATAAACAGAGTAATTACCTTGTTTGATTTTCTGACTGTAATGTTTCTGCTTGGTGGACATTTCTCATTCTCTCATGCATTCAAGGCAGGCAGCTTTTTAAATCATTTATTAAATGCCTGCTGTACAGAGAAAAGGACTGTTGGCCAACTGAAGTTGAAGAAGGCAACTTCATTAAAATAAACTGAAATAAAGTAGGACCGAATTGTATACTAAAATGAAACAAATTTACAGTAAATTTGATAAAAGACCATTTAGGAACAACTGTAAATAACCTTTTCATCTTTAAAAGTTTCATATCCTTTTGCTAGGAAGCATGATCCCAACAGTCTGGAAGAAGAGAAAAAGTTGTTTAAACAGGAATTAATTTTCTATCCAATATATACAGCCGTGTTTCCATGGATGAAGGCCTTAAAGAATAGATCAGGCAAATTTAGAGATAGATATACGGAATTGCTTTTTGAGATCCTTTGCAGCCTTATGAATCTTTGATTGCATGATTACTGTGAAGCAAATTCTCAGTGAGCACTCTGACTTGTGAGTGTCCCTGTTCATTGCAGGGCAGTTGGACTAGATGACCTTTAAAGGTCTCTTCCAACTTTAAGGATTCTATGATTCTATGTATGAGTTGAACAGAAAAACGATCCCGTGGAGCCCTCCTTCTTTGTAAGTGATATGATTGATATTTGTCATCAAGGATTTTTGGATTGAAATAACATACAAATCAATTATGTGGGTTGACTTGCTGGAGATATTCTAGAGAATAAAAAATAGGGACAGAAAGCTCTTGTAGTGAATATCTGTTTCAATAGGAAATATTTCCTGAAAATAGGGATCACTTGAAGATCATTCATAGATCATTCTACTTTGTGTTATCTTTTTTTTTTCTTTTCTTTTTTTTTTTTTTCCTTTTCCTTTCTCTTTTGGCATGAAATTCAGTTTGAATGAAAGTGGAAAGGTTTCTTCTGGAAGTTTCAGGAGGGCATGGAATGTAGGAATGTCACGGAGTTGACCAGACAGGGTCCAGGGTCAGACAGTTGTCCGTAACAGGGGCAACAGGCCTCTGCCCTCCCCCCGCACCCCAGTCCCACAAAAATGGGAAGGAAGGAAGGGAGGAAAAGAGCAGCGGCAACAATCTATGGAGGAAAACTTATTTTACTATAATATCGGAATACAAGATAACAAAATATAATACAATTTAATTGAAATTGGGATTAATAAATCAGACAAGATGAGAGAGAGTTCCCGGGACCGAGTCAAACCTGAAAAGCTTGGAACGGCTAGGAAAGCACCTCCAGCACCCACTGCAAGGCAGCAAGAGAGCGCCCCCCCCACCCGGAAGGGCCAGATCCCGTGACTGCTGTAATGTACAGGGATAGGTACCTGGGATTGGGGCAGTGACGCTTCAGTGCCCCGTACACTACATGATGTTTTGATGTGGAATACTGAAATCCAAAAAACAAAAGAAAAACAAACAAACAAAAAAAACATAGAACCATGACAAGGAACTGCTTGGCTTTCATGCCTACAGCAAGTCTTTCCGTCTTTTCTGTGTCAGTCTCATATGCTTTTTGTCATACCTGAATGTGTTCTTAATATAGCAGTAGCTGTTATTTCTAACATCTTCAAAAAATAATTAAGCACTACTATTCTTTTGTTCTAAAGTTCTTTATGTGGGTAAAAAGAGATTTGAAGGCCTTATGCAATTTACTGAATTTCTCTGTAGTTATCGTATTTCTGCAGCGAAGTGTAGTAGAAAGTGGTGAAGTGCACTTACAGAGCACCGTACTGTTACTTATTTCATACTGTATTTTGAGTAACTCATCAAAGCCAGCTGCTCACAGCTTTGTTCCAACACCGTTATTGCTTTGCAGGCTGATGTTCCTCAGGGAGTGATACGGGTGCAAGCACCTCATCTTTCGAAAGTTTCCATGGCAATACAGCTGACAGAAGACCTGAAAGCCAGTGATATAGTAGCCAGATTTCTCAGTGAGAAAAGGTACAAATACATTTTTATTAACGTGTATTCTATCACGAAAAAAGTTTTAAAATTGTTTGAATCAAAGTGAGTTCATGAACTTCAGGGTCAAATTTAGCGCATTAGAATATACACTTGAGGAATTAATCTCGTGTTTCTAATGCCTCTAAAGCTCATGAGGCCGTCAGGAATGCACAAAAACTATTAGTGAAAACTGATCAGCTCTTTAGTCTGATGGGATAATACTTTTATTAAAAGAATACTTTTGTTATGTTCTCAGAAGAAGAAGGGATCTCCAAGAAAACAAGTCTAAGAAAGAAAGAGATGAGGAAAAGAGAAAACATCACATAAAAATGGAATTAATATATAACAATAGTACAGGTATTGGAATATAGATATCTGAAAATGTTGCTCGTGCAGTGTTTTAAAAGGAAAATTTGAGTTATCCAAATCCATTGAGAAATGAAGAAGTTTTAGAAAAGATTTTACATATATTTTATATGTACATGAGCAAAGTAAGAAATCAGAATGGATTTAGCAAAAAAACCCCAAATCATTAACATACGTGGGCATCATATACAACTATTCATGCTAAAGGAGTAACAGTGCTCTGTGTGAAATCAAGAAGATAGTTCTTCTTAAGAGCTGTTCTCAAGGGCTTATATTTTTGAATGAAAGTTATTTTTTTGGCTGCACCATAGCATATACTATTAGAATTAAACAGTGAGAAAAATAAAATCTTTTTGTAATTCGGAGACTTTATTCCTCCACTGTATGTTTTTTCACTTCTTTTAGTTGCAGCAAAAATAAAACCAGCAAGAATATGGTTTCCGTACCCAACCGCTTGGCTTTTTCAGACATATGAAGTGTGTGAGGGGAATACTTATTTTTGCAGCAGCAGTGAAAGAAAAATTAGAGGGTAAATATCAGGCTACTTGCTAATAACAGTTGAATGCTTTTTTAAAAACCACGAATTCTTCACATCTATGAAGGCTGCTCCAAAAGTAATGCCTCCTCTTCTATTATGTTGGCTCACGACATAGAAGTTGGTGGTGTGGCAGTAGAGGTTGAACCTTCCCGATACTTCATTACATGTTGTTGCTGTGTGAGAGATGGCAGCAAAGGGGCAATCTGACAGAATGGTGTCTGACATGTAAGTGCCCATGAAGCAAAGGTGTGGAATTGAATTCCTCCACGCAGAAAAAATAGCACCTATTGACATTCACTGATGCTTGCTGAATGTTTATGGAGTCCAAATGGTGTTATGTGAGCACGGTGAGGCAAGAGGTGGTGTGTTTCAGCAGCAACAATGACAGTGGGTCACCTGCACTGGGAAACATTGCTACAAGCATGGTATGCAGTTTCTTGTTCATGGCTGGCAAAAAATGCATAGCTAATCATGGTGACAACATTGAAAAGTAGTATTTTCTTGCTGAGAATTTGTTCTATCAAATAATGTTATTGTGTTCTTTTTTATCTGTTGTAGTTTCCCTGGAAATACATAGGAGGTATTACTTTTGGAGCGACTTATCTTATTTATACCTTTTCTGTAGTTTATTGCTCACTTGCAGGACTATTTGCACTAGCATGCAAGGGTGTTCTTGTTCACTTTATCAGTAAATAAGTATAAACAAAAAGGATTTACAGCTGCTGCACTGCTGATCTTAATTAGCAGAACTTCTACCAGAAATGTCTCAGTTGTTGGCATACAAATTCTTTGCTAGTGTACAAGTTCTTTTGCAATACAGTTAATCTATGCTTTTTGTTCCTGACAGTGGAAATGTCCAAACACTCAAGAAAGAAGAGGTCTTCCTTTATGAAATAGGAGGAAATATTGGTAAGAATGGCCTCTGTACAACTTCTTTTGCTAGAATAAGACTGTTCAGCACTTAATACATGGATTTACTGTGTGACTACATTTATTCACATCCTGACACTAAAGCAGAAAGTTAACCCTAGGGAGAAGGAAGCAGAGAAGGTGGTGTAATCATCATATTAGTAGTACATTATTATCTGTTCTAAAGTAGGAAGACTGCTGTTACAGATGTTCCTGATACGTATGTACAATAAAGAAGCATAGAAAGGTGCTTGAAGTTCATCTTCTTCATCTCTTTGTACTGAGGCATAGTAAGTGAACTTACAGCCCTTATGCTCTTCATTGGAGCGTTGCTTGCAGGCTCCAATGAAAAAATGACCATTAAAACGGAAAAATGACCAAGTAATGAAATTTTCAAACAGTTAATCTTTCCTGCTCTGTGTAACAATTGATTAAAGCAAATAGCAGATCAGCAAGGTGAAGGCCAAAGGCTGACACTGAAAGCAGTTCAGAAATTTCCTAATGAACGCAAAAGTATTTTTGTGTTAGAAATCAGTTCCCGTTATTTTTCATATGCTGAGGGAAAAAAAAAAAAAAAAAAAAAAAAAAAAAAACAACACCCCAAAACCTAAAAGACAGCATTGTATTGAACTTGCATCCTACATTCACTTTTTCCATATTAAGCTGTATTTGAAAGCACAAAATTCCATGAATATGCCGTATGTCTGTACTGCATGTTTAAATACTACATGTAGTTGCTATTTTTATCATTATTCCATTTAACCTAATCACTACTTCAATTTATTTTTTTTATGTCTAAACTGAAAAATTTCCCTGCAGGAGATGAAAAAATCTGGATGCCAGATTAGTATATTATCTTTCCCTTACATGTCCATTATATATGCAGTCTTTCAGCTGAGACAAGAACTCCCTGACGTTAACCTACTATGGTTTACATGTTAACATAGACCAGCTTTCCAGATCTTTGCAGTTCCTATCTTCCCAAACTAGCTGATGTACAAGGAGCCCCAAAGGCAAACAAGCTGACAGGCTCATTTTGCACTCATATGCTTATGCTCACATTTGTAATATGAGCAATGCTGACGTCCTTTACCCTAACAGATGGAGCTGCTGAAGTTTCCAGACATTTTTTGGTGTGCCCAGTACACTGTGGGTCTTCATGGCACTGAACAGGAATTCTGCTATTGCTTCATGAGCACGACTGGATACAGAAATCATAGCATTTCAGAATGGTTTTGGTTGAAAGGGACCTTAAAGATCATCCATTCCAGTCCTATGCCGTGAGCAGGGTTCCCACCCACTAGATCAGGCTGCCCAGGGCCCCATCTAGTGTGGCCTTGAACACATTCAGGGGTGGGTCATCCACATCTTTTTCATCCTGTGGGTCACTGAGGGTCTCGTCCAGAAGTGTGGGTGGTACATGGCACACAGGTTGGGATAAAAATGCCTGAGAGAGAACAGGCTGCCCTCAGGCATGGAGCGGGGATGGAGGTTTATCAGGAAGAGCCTATTTGAGCAGACAATCTCATTTGCTTGCCTGCAATAAGCAGAATGTCAAGACAGCTGGCAGGCTGACCCTGCTTCAGGGTAACACCTCTGCTTGCCTTCCGCTTTAGGAGAATATATTTCCAGAAACATCTGGTTGGCAGATTAAAGAAGCTACCAGTCATCTACCTCAATCACTTGGTGTGGTGAAGTAGGAGAGGGGCTGTAGTGTATAGCTGCAAATGCAAAAGCCCATGGGGAAATGGGAAGAGAAAGCTGATCTTGATGGAACAGCATGTTATTTTCATCATAGCTACCAGACAAAAATGAGTTTCTCATAATGCACCGAAAACACTGTACTACTTTTCTCTCTTTTGTCAGTAACCATTAGAAGTGCTATGCAGAAGTGTTAACCGAGAGAAGCAGAGTGGGGAATAATACCTTCTTAACAAGGACAAACCCTGCTCAGACTTTCCATTTCAGAAAAGAAAGAAATTTTAATGGGCTTCAATGGAATTTTGAATTAACCACAAGACAACCAGGGCCCCATTTTCCTTTATTAAACCTTCAGAGAGTGGAGGTTCCATGCAAATAGTCTGTGAAGAATCTGACCCAGTGCCACAGAGTTGGAACCTCCCACAGCTTCCCTCACAGCCTCAACCTGCATGCCTTCCTCTCCAAGATGGATGAGAAGACTAAAAGCACTTCTAGGCTTTAGCTATGTTGTCCATTGTTAAATACCACAGAAATAGCTTGAAAACTTAAATGGAATAAACCAGCAACTTTGAAAATAATTTCTTATTTTTAATTTTTTTCTTTACTGATGTAGCCAAATAACCTCTTTTTTGTTTTTTTCTTTTTTTTTTTTTTCTAAGGGGAACGCTGCCTTGATGATGATACCTACATGAAGGACCTCTACCAGCTCAACCCAAATGCTGAGTGGGTTATAAAATCTAAGCAGAGCTAAGCAAATGGCAAAAGAACAAACCACGGACTTACCTTGTAATGCTGAATTTTTCAAAGGGGTAGTGTGTTCTTTCAACATTCAACTTTACTATACTTATTAATAGAAACTTACCTAGTTAAAAAAAAAGAAAGGCAATGGAAACCCAACAATGATTACTAGTAAATTTTCACTTTTACTTACAGCAAGATACCAGAAAGAACTTTTCCCACTCATTTGATACAAGAATAAGTCAGTTAAACACTTTAATGGCACTAATCTCCCTTAATGATACTCCCATCTGGTAGGTCTGGTTTCAAAAGAATTTATTTTTCAAACAGATGTTTAACCTCTTTATGTTAGAGATCTAAAATCTGTTTGCATAGAAGTGTGTGTTCACATAGGTTTTTGCAGTGGTAGGACACTGGAGAACCAAATCCTGATCAGCACTTCTGAATGGTACAGTATTAAAAATACCTGAAACCATTTCTCAAGTAAGTGTGAAATTTGCAGGAAAAAACTGCAGTACAATATATATTTTGTTTTTGGAAGTCCTAATTTTGTTCACTTTCTAGGTAAACTTTGATAGAAACTATTTAAAAACAACTGTGAAAATGCTTTCTATGCATCTTTTTGCTAGATCTTTTTAATATTTTTATTCTTATTATAGCTGATCGTATTCTTGATACTATTTTTTTTTTTTTTTTTTTTTTTTAAGTAGGACAGTATAATACAGTGAGTCATTTTTAAAGCTCACCACTCTTGGCAGTGTCCTTTCTGAAATAATGTCACCACTAGAAAGATGTCTGAGTTTATCAGCAGTGATACATGGATATGTTGCAAATGTTGATTTCAGGGTTTTTGGATATCTGAGAGATTGCAGAGCATTTTGTGAACTGCCAAAATCTGCCAATTATGAGCACAATAAAGACTGTTAGGGTGAATAAAATAACTGTGGAGAGAAACTGTAAGCTCAGTTTCACAGTAGCAAACCACCAAATCTTTCACTCAAAATCAGGGTAAAGGTCTGCTGTGGAGTGTACATAGGCTCTTTGGTATTACCTACCACCAGCTTTACATCTGGTCTATGCTGGATGAGGCCAGAATCAAGTTCTACCTTCCCTGATAGATGCTGTCTAAACCACTTGAAAATTAATAGTCCAATGGTGAATTATTTCAAATCCTCCTCTTGGCAGAAGGAAGGACTGAATTCTCCTTGTGGAATTCATTGATACTGAATTACAGACTGACATGGCTCACTGCAGTGCTAAGTGCTGTGACTGTGGCTTCAGAATCCAGTCCCATAGCAATGCTTTGGGCTCACAAACCTGTGTACCACTTCACAGTTTATTTGTAAACCAGCTCACCCCAGCTGTAGCACATATCTGCATGCTGACCACCTGAAGTAACTACTGTGAAATGATGTCCTTGGAACTAAGCATTTTCTTCCGATGCACACAGAATTACATTGACCTCATAGGGAATGTCTACATACAATCAAGAACTGCATTTGATTTTTTTTTTTTTTTTTTGTACTTGATCAAAGCTAATTAAAAGAATTGGGGGGGCCTTTCTACTGAGCTTTGGATATAGGCCCTGGCTGTGTTATTCCCAAAGAAACCACTGGAACTCTATTTTATGCACAAGCAGTGAAGTAGAATTCTGACAGGACATGGAAAAATTTGGGCACCTTCTGATTAGTTATCTGCAGTGTACGAACAATTTGAGGGCTGTAAGTATTCATTGTTGTTAAAAAGGCTCCGAGAGGATGCAGTGAAGGATTCTGCAGAGCAGGATGAAGGAAATTGGAGACTGCTGCAGCAGGTCTGCTCCCAATGCTCTGCCTCTGTGGGTACCCCCATGGTGTTGCACTGAGCCATGGTAGCACTCCCCGTAAGACAAATCGCTTTGTCAATAGAACAAAACTCACTTGCTGTTCTTTAAGGGATAGAGTAGAAAATCAGAGCAGTGCTTAGGCAAAATATTTATTAATCTAATGTAATACATAGAAGGTGTTTTTGTCATGTAAGGCAGAAATGATGTGATGTAGTACACATAGTTCTATAAGCAACTGCTCGCAACTGGGACGCCAGGTGTTGTTTGAATCAGGAGCAAAGTGCAGAGGATGGGAACAGCTGCATGGTTCTGGCGTAACATTACAACCTGCTGGCTATGATCTTTTAAATAACTTTGTTTCTGGTTTAGTGCCATTATCTTTTTTTTTTTTTTTTTTTAATTTAAAAGGCTCTTTTATAATTAAATGTTATTTTTTTTTCTGAACGCTCTTCTCCTTTGAGTTATTATGCGAAAGCTTTCTGTGCACGTCAAACACAAAATGACACCGAGTGGGGATTATTTTTTAATTTCACACCGTGCGTCTTTGCAGGTAGTTCGTTGTTTTGTGCGTGGAAAGAGACGTTGCTAAGCGGCACGCTCAGTTACAGTGCCTTGCAGCCTGACGACAGGAGCGCTGCTACCCGGCACCTACCCGCGGTAGCAACAGCGCCACCCTTCGCTGAGGCCGCCCGCCCCGCTGACGGACGGCCGCACGGAACGCGCCCTGCCGCGGTGCTACGGCGCCCCCTCGCGGGCAGAGCTGGATCCTACGCGGCTGTGAGCGGGCAGGCGTTGTCTTTACGAGAGTGGGTGCGAAGCGCGTTCCCTGCTCTGGGTGGCGTTTCAGATGCTTTTGTTTGAATGTTAGCGTAGTTGCGCCGCTGGCTGCTCGTTTCCCAATTCCCGGCCTTTTGTCGCTGGGTGGCTCGTGCCTCCTCCTTTTCCCCGCCTCCGCCGCCTCCACCCGTAATCCTCGCATTCCCCTCCCACGGGAGAGCGCCGGGAGGGTGGCATCTTCCATCCCACCTTCGCCCTTCCTGAGCAGCTTGCAGGAGGGCATGTGGCAGGGCCCTCGGCTGCAGGTCAGCAGGGGGGATTCATGGAGATAGCGGGCGGGTGAGTGGGTCTGGGTGTGTGCTCTGACCATCAGGCAGCGCTACTGTGCCATGCGGGTGATGGAGAGGGGCACAGGTTGACCAGAGATTGGAGTCTCCTCCTTGAAGATCTTCAGAAGCCACCTGGACGTGATGCTGAGCAACCTGCTCTGGGTGCCCCTGCGTTAGAGCAGATGGGCACATGGATCCCTTTCCACCTCAGCCGTTCCATGTTAAGCACTGGCAAAACCTCCCGTGAGGCTGCTTTGAACTCAGGGCCTTAGGAGATGCGCCCATTGAGGAGGAAATGCTTTAGGAAGTCCTGCCTAAAACTTTTTTGCAATCCGTTACTTTTTTTTCTCAAATATTCTTCTTGAAGTTACTGAAGCTGTTTAATAAAATGCGCTCTTTTACTAAGCATTAAGAGTTAATTTGCAGTAGAAAAGCAATCTCAGTGGAAGATTTGCTAAGTGAGTGATTTCCTCTAATGCACCTCAATATATATAGGAATTGAATCTCTGTAGCACTTCTATTTCTAAAAAACTGCAGCCATTCACAAAGAAAAGAAAACAATGTATATGCACTAATTTTACAGCAACGTTTACAACAATTACTTTTTACTAGGGCAGTGCTTGCAAGAACTTCTAACCATTGTTTCTGTTTGCAGATGAAGAGGCAGGTAAGCACTTCTCATCTCAATTTAGCAGATGGGAGAACTGTTCCTAGATGGCTTGCCTGGGGCTGAAGATGTGAAATCAATCTGATTTGTAGAAACCAAATATAATCCTCCAAAACTGTTCAAAAAATCTGCCGTATCATCAGTAACGGGACTTCAGCAAACATAAATCTGACTTCAGGGGACAGTTTTAATAAATATAATACTGTGAGCTTTAGCCTGATTTCCAAAGCAGGAGTCTGGGGTAATCTTGCTGCCAGTGTGTGTCTTCCCCTAATTACTTCTGGATCTGCTGGCAGACTTCAATCATTCTTGGCAGACAGAGTAGAGGGAGAGAACGTCTCAAAAATAATTAAATTTATATGAGTTTCATAAAAGGAGGCAACTGGCAGAGGCAGAACAAGCCCTTTGATCAAAGGACAGGTGACAGCATAAATTCTGCCTTTATGTAGGCACTGGAGCAGCTACAGAGCTGGCTTTTATGGTGTAGCTTGTTCCTAACTTCTGGTTAGCACAATTGATCCCCTTTCCTCCCCTGTTGGGTTCAGCATCTCAGTAAGCACCATCCCTGCAGAGCTACCTGCAAGGTGGGAAGCAGTACACCTGTGCCCTCCTCTCATAGGTCTGTTGGGAGTCACTTTCATCCTGCACAAAGATCAGACCTAAAATTGGCTAGTATCAGATGGCAGTGTTCATGTATCTGCGAGTGCTAAGCAGTAATAGGAATGCAACTTTCCACTCCATTGCATAAGGTGCTAGTTCAAAATCTCCGCAGATGTTACTTCTCTCCAGTTGCTCATTTTTGGGACAATTGAAAGGATTCTTCATCCTGTCTCACCCTATGACCAATAAGTAGCATTAATTCATGCTGATAGCCAAAGTCTGTTTATTTTAGTGTTTCAGAATCACGTGTTACCATTACATCTCTTGAAAACACCTGGTTTCTGATGTAGCTGTCTCAGCTCCTATAACTGCATGTTGAGTCACTGGATCAGGTCCTGCAGGTAAGCCAGCTCTGGGTTCTTTCCCATGGGAATTCCTGTGTCCCCAGAGCATGAAGTCATCAGACATGATGCCTCAGAGATGCACAACTTCAGCATACAATTGTCTAGTGAAACTGTAAGGACAGACAGCTTTGCACAGTAGAATTTCACAAGTACACACAAGTTACTGGAGTATCCCTTGCTATTTGTCAATGTGCAAATGTTTGACTTACTCCAAATGACCCAGAGTAAACGGGAGAATATGTAGTTGCTCTAAAACGTTCAAGCATCAGATTCAGGCTCCAAACCCTGGGCTGCATCCAATCAAGACCTGGTATCTATCTCAGTCACTTCTTCCCCTAATCTGTGAAATATTTGATTGAAAGCTTGCCTTCTGATTTTGGGTTTGTCTGAAAATAGTATGTAATCTAATACAGTTGCCTTCATTGTATTCTAGTATGCTCCTACAGTGTGTGCTGTAAGTTACAAGGTAAACGAGCTTCCAACCCCTTCTTTTGGATGCTCATCCTCCACTATAGTCTGCCAAAAACCAAATTTACTTATGAGTCTGGGTGAGCCTGAACAAAGGGAGTTCCTTTCAGCAGGGACCACAGCCTGAGCAGGTAACACTGTGGGGACCTAAACATCCATGAAGTACCAACTGAGAGTTGCCCATCTCAGTATTCCAGTCTGGCTCTTTTTCTTCTTGGCTGTCTCATAAATATTCAGTACACCATTTTGCTTCTGTAGACTTTAAAGTTGTAGGATGCAGCCAGGTGACATTCTTCTGGAATGCTGTTTTTAAATGCTCAACCTTGAAATAAGCTGTATCTCATGGGAGTGTGAGACAAGAGATATTAGAGCAACTTTCTGAAACCATTCTAAGACAGTCTTGGAGTCCTGGCAAAAATCTGCACTGGTGCCTTCAATGTGCCATTCTGAACCAAAACAAGATTTTCCTTCCATTGAGTTTAGCAATGCGTTAGGAAACAATTTTGGCATGGTTGAGTTTGGACACGGTTTTGCAAAATGTTGGCCAGAAAACATACCATTGCAAAACCCTTTCCAGCCATACAACCTTTTCTACCAAGACAAAGTGCCTTTATTTTTATTACTTTGAAGATCCCTACAAGGGTGGTCTCCTGATTTTTGTCACAGTTCTGCTTGACTGAATGGTAGAAGGAGATATGAGTGAATTATTTTGTAAAAAAATAAAATAAATCTTACTGTTGAAAGTATTGTATAGATAACCAACAAAGGGCCACTGTGCAATCATGAAATGGAGTACTTCAGAAGATTCTTGTTTATTCCAGTTCCTTCCATGTAGAGAAAATAAGCCAGTCAGTTCTGTAGACCAAATGTTGCTGCTATTCCCATGCAGAATTGTTTCACTGGAGGTCTTCCAGGAAGATCTGAAAGCAGAGAGTACTCATGTCTTCAGCCATCTTGAAGTGATGTTCTCCTATAGATGGTGTGTGTGACTTGTTTGCTTGTTTGTTTTTCCTTCTGTTTAAATTGGGTATCTTTTCTCTTTAAAGGGAGTAGTGAAAACTGAGCATAATTATAGACAAGAAATATTTCTGTACAACAACAGTGTGGATGTTTTGAAGGTATTTATGAAATAAATATGGTTACTCTTTTTTTTTTTTTTTCCAGAGAATCTCCTGATTGCTTAAATCTGCTTGGATCATTATAAGAAAAATTGATTTAATAAAGAAACACTAGCTAAGCAAGTCTAAAATGTTGGTAAGATTAAGAAGGAACTGATTTTTCCTCCGAGGCACCTATAATGATATCACAGTTAAAATTCTAAAAACATTTGTTTAGCTCTTGGAAAAAAAAAAGTTAATGCATAAATAGTACAACTAAACTGCATATTAGTGTGCTGATGAGGGCAGGACTGGTATACCAGGTCCGTTTATTATGTTCTGACTCACAAGTCTGCGTACTGCTGAGATGTCCTCAGCCTTACAAAATAAATTCTTTTTTTTTTTTTCCTCTCCAGGAATAAGGAGGTTCCTGCAGTGCATGCACGCATCATTTAGCCAGTAGGCAGGCAATTGTATCTATGGCAGTCATGCAAATGCCAGGGAAAGCTCTCACCTCTGGTTAGACATAGACTTTGCCATTCAGCTAAGGAACGCTTTAGGCTGCTCAGCTGGGCTCTGTTGATTTCTGGCATGTGGATAGGTATAGAGCTGTCATGGCATACAAACTGCTGCTAATCCTGACCTCTGCTTCTCTGACAGGGACCGGGTACATTGCAGCTGCTGACACTTGTCTGGCCCAGCCTCAGCAGGGTCTTGAGATGCCAGCAGAATTCCTGCTATTTGCCTCTAAGCTTTTTTTCCCTGCTGTAGTGCACAATGTGTGTTTTGAGATTTCTGTTGTGATTAGCATTTTGGATATACTTTGTAGGGTTTGCACTGTTGGTCAGCTCCTCTACATGGTTATAGTACATAGTACATGATAAAGGGAGTTCAAGAGTGTCCAGATCCTTGTGCAGTTTTTCTTTGAATGTTATCTTAATCGTAAATGTATATCAATGTAAATTTTGCTTCTGCCTTGTCAGTGCAGCTCAAAGACCTTTCTGTTCTTCTCTAATACCTTCCCTGTAGTGTGCTACTCAAAGGATGATTCCCACCAGTGGACA